GGGTGCTTTTCAACAACTTCCACCCCTGTCCCAACACAACACCTGAATCCACTTGTCCATCCTTGGGCGAATGTGGAAATCAGCTTTAACTTTTTCTCCCAGGTTCTTGCTTAAGTTGCAGTGTGTGAGCCAACAGTTTTAGCTTACACTACTATTGTCTACAGTTGAAGAAATCATTGTTTATGGCCCCTTGTTCTTGATAAGAATCTTACTAGACCTGATCTATTCCCTGTGGAGGAAAACAATTAACAAGGTGTCCCCTGTTTTCAACCAGGACAGAAAGCAAAGTGGCCTTGCCCCAATTGTATTAATTGCACAATCTTTCCTACCAAGTCTGAAGAATACAGAATAGAATAATTGAGAATTCATTTTCTCTTTTCCTTCTTTCCATCTACCTCAAAAGAAACATGAGCATAAAATTCAAGGTCAGTTCAGTAGCTCCTGCATACAAAAGGAGAAAAAATGTTCATTTCCAAACCTAAAAAAAAAAAAAAAAAAAAATCTCACTTCTGTTTCTTAATGAAGTAAAACACAAACAGGGACTATCAAAACCTTCTCATTAATCGCACCTCAGTTTGGAATCAAGAATGTGTCCTTTGTTTGTTGGGTTAATTCAAAGTACATTGTCCTGTTGAATTGACTTGGGTGAAAATGACATCACGAAAAAAGAAAAATCACCACTTTTCTTTCAATACTACCCAGAAGAGAGGTCAGATGCCCAAGGGATCCATTTGCCACATAAACACACTAAATTGGAAGGCGAATGCATGTTGCAGCCTGCCAGTGGGACCTACCTGTCACTTGTGAATTAGTGCATTCTGCTTCAGGGTTTCCAAATGAAATTCTGAAACACCACACTTCAGTGTTGAAAATTTAGCTAGATTACAGCAGTCTTTTCCCTACAGAGGGCTTTATTGCCTTGTAAACTAAACTTGGTAGGGGAGACATGCTTAATAGCTAGGTTAGATAGTCTCAGTTTCAGCAGGAAAGAATCAAATTGCCTGATAAAAGCACTGGGGGAAGAGGCAGGATGGAGACTATTAAAATGTTTACAATTTATGTCAATGCTTTAACATAGATGTACTGAAACAAAAGTCAAACATGATCAAAAACACCTTGTAACAAGGTTTGTTTTCATATGATCTGTGCAGGGAGGGAGCTACTCCACAGTAACAATGTGGGTTCTCACCCATAGCAGCACATCACAATGGTGCACGGTGAACAGTCACCAGATGAGCTCCGAGTTGCTTGCAGCTAATGAAGTCTGAAGCTTCACATGGGACTTACATTAAATATAAATATAGTTGCTTCAAAGCAATCTCCATAATAGCCTCTCTCATGCTCATCTGCATTTCTATATGTTTTCCTGAGTGGGAGAGAAAGAGTGGAGTTATAGGTAGACTGCAGAGAATTATGACTGCTAAGAATTACTAATTTTGTTTTTCTTGTGGGAAAATGTCTGTCAAATAAGGATTCAGAAAAACACTGGGAATCACTAATCCAGGAGCCCAGGAATGAATTCCTGTCACTGATAGCAACCTCCCTTACTATGGGGTAGCCCTGGAGGGCAAAGAGGAAGAGGTATTGCTTTTCAGATGATTGCTCACTTACTTTGATGGGATGAGTTCCTAACAGGAAGCAAGTCACATGGGGACAGCTTTTGACAGCTGTAACACTGCTTCATCCTACTGCCCACCCCTCTGCAAGTCCTCAGGTAAATAAAACTAGTATTAAATTCAACATGGACTAAAATTAGTTTCTTGTTGCTGGATGTGGTGATGCACACCTGTAATCCCAGTGGTTTGGGAGGCTGAGGCAGGAGAATCAAGAGTTCAAAGCCAGCCTCAGCAAAAGCAAGGCACTAAGCAACTCAATGAGACCCTGTCTCTAAATAAAATACAAAACAGAGCTGGGAATGTGGCTCAGTGGTCGAGTGCCCCTGAGTTCAACCCCAGTACCCCCCTTCCCTCTAAATTAGTCTTTCATTGCATAGACCTCCCCTCTTTTAATTTCTGACAATAGGTTCAGGTTTTGGAACTGTCTTCATCCAGAAACTCTGGAATTCCTTCCAGATACTGTAGGCCTAAGGCAAGCCAAGAATTTTACCTTCACCTAAGCCAGGGCCCAGGAATCAAAGGAAACCCAGGACTTAACTAAGATAACTGTCTCTAGCTGCCCATCTGGTTATTCCTTATAAAATATTTATATCTGGGAGAACGAGGCCCACACCCTCATTCATTATTGCCTGGTAGCACTGACATAAGTCTGAGCCCAAAGAACAAATTCTTAGTACCTCCACAGACAGAAGACAAGAGGGACTCAGGCAACCAAAATGGGAGGAAAAAAGAAGCCAACTGTACAATGAAGAACTCCTGACAGGTTCAGACTCCTTGTGAGAGTAAATGAACTCCACAGGTCACTCAGAATTGCTTCCACCCCACAGTCCCCAGTGGAAGCCACTCTAGAATGGGGAAGCTGTCCTAGACAGCTTCTGTAGAATGGCAGGGTTTCAGAGTGGGCCTGTGCCTCCCAGCATGTGAACTTCTGTTGGCTGACTCAGTGGCTCTCGATTGCTGAGGCTAATGCGGTAACTGGCCAGGAGGAGGTTGCACATTCACACAGGGCGTGCAACAGGACCGACACACTGACAAAAGGACAGTGTGAGGCGTTGTGTATCAGCAATGGCATGAGTGTGATCTGCATCCAGGGTTGCTGCACAGGGCTGGGATTTGCCCTTTCGACTGCCAAAGGGAATGTTGAAAATGCTACATGAGAAGCTATTCATTTTTTTAAAGAGATGAATTGTTTTGAAAAATGACAGGATCCACTTATAAAACACTTGATTTTTAGGCAAGAAATAGGTGGTTGAGCTTTGGTTTGAACACACCTTTAGCAATAAAAAAAAAAGGTGGGGTGGGGAACAGGACAAGAATGGTTGAACACGCTATCAAAGCAGGATTGCTGAGAGCAGAAATCCAGAGAAATGACCCTCTCCAGGCCTCTATCTGCAGTTCTATTGAAGGAACATGGAGAAAACTGCAGATTCTGTATATAGCACAAGAGGTCACACCCAAGAGGTTTCTGGAGGATAAAGGGAAGCTATAGGATGTTGGGGCTGGAATGACTCTCCCAATATATCCTTTACAAGCAGAAAGATTGTACCCAGGCTTAAACTTCGGCTCTTCTTTTTGTTTATACATGAAACCAAACTTTCACTTTTTAAGTAAATCTCACTAAGAGTCCAGTAGATAAGATAACAAGGATATAAGAAATGCAGTACCAGCAATGGTCAGATTTGCCCAAGAACTTATTGGATATCATATCAAAAAATAAGTAACCACTTAATCTCTTAACACCAAATAATAATCTCTTGAAAACAGTTGGAGAACTGGGAAATTAGACTTAAAAGTAGCTTCCAAATAAAACATATCCACTAAAGTGTTGGAAACATTTTAAACATCCCCCCCACCCCAAGAAGCATCTCATTTATTTCATACTACCCAGAGTTATGAAACGGACTTTATGTAATAAAATGATATCCTCCCTGATACAAGACAAACACAGTGTTATGAACACTGCACTCCTTGAAGTATGCAAATTACTTGCCTCTCTAAAATTGTATATGTGAAGCTTTGTGCATGTGAGTATGTGTGTTTTCCTGAGAAAGGTCCCTATCTGGATTTTCAAAGGGACCTGAGATAGGGGAAGACCACTAAAACTGTACCTGAGATGGGAAGCAGGCCCTGCCCAACTGACCCACCCAGGGGACCATGATATCCCAGGAAGTGTCCCTTCTCCTTGTTTTCAGCTTTCATGTCTCACCACACCCCCCTTTCCTACTTGATTTTCTTCTCTTCCCACTCACAATTCTGTCACTTCTGGAGTGAGGACAAATGGCTTTTGTTTTAAAAAATGATGCAAACTTCTTCTGTTTGGCAGACTGCTTGTGTGTTCTTGTAAACTTCAGAATTTATTGCCAGTTTCATTTCTGCTCAATACTTGGGTTTCTAGTTAACTCTGGGTTTGTGCATATTCTGGAACGTTGAGCATACTAGATGTTTGATTGCTGGGGACATATTGGGAGCATGTTTCCTGTAGATTTTAGTAAGCTCAACATGGGTGTTAGACAGCCATGAACACACACACAATCAGCCGGCAATCTATAGACCACTTTCAGGAAGCTGAGGTGCTGTCTCTTTCCCAGTTTATATTAGTATCTGAAATATTTGCAGCCCCAATCTGAGCTCGGATTTGCAAGAAATATTTAGAGCTTGTTCAGCATGGCATTTTCAATCATATTCTGTAAGTGGGATGCTGGTAAATGAGCCATAAAGAAAGAATAAAGAAAATGTTACTGTTTATTGGTAGATTATGGCAATATGCAAAGTAAACACAAGGGAGCTAAGGGAGGGAGAAGTGCTGCAGAGGGCGACAGACCTGGGTGTGTCAGAATCAGTAGGAAGAACAGTGGCAACTGCTGAGCAGAGGGAAAGTGCCCCTGCTTGATATCCTGAGGCAAGAATGGAGTACTAGAGCTGCTTTAGTACATCACAAAAGATAAGATGCAGGCTCTCAAACTGCCTGAAAATTTAGCTTTCATTTTCTACCTATAACAGAATGCTGTTTTATAGTTTGGAGTGGGTGGAAGGGAAAGATTTTGCTAGATCTTTAAGTTACTAAAAAAATAGCTGCACCATTGGGATAAGATATATTCCCAGGAAGAGCTAGAAGTAGAAGACCCCTGACAATATAAACATTACTGAAATCTAAACATAAAGGCATAAAAATGTACAGAATGTCAGCACTCACTCTGAAAGCTGAAACCAAGGAGAAAATATTCAAACAGAAAGATTAATCTCTATGTCCAAAAGACAAGTAATAAGATTAATAAGAAGTTGGTAATTCAGAAAAGCCTGCATTCAGTCTTAAGTGCCCTTACTTCTCCCAGCTCCATGCCATGCTGAGGAGCATATCCTAGATGTGCTATTCCAACTACTTACCTCATTGCAGTCACCAGCTGGGATGTGTGAAGGTCGCGCTTCTTCATCTAGTGGCTCAATTACTGTCACCTCTGCAAACTCCTCCACAGATTCTTGAAACTCAGGCAAGGACCTTCGTCCATAACGCTTCCCACCTCTAACATATTTGGGCTGAGCTTCCAGGGAGCAGTCTGGACAAGGAGACAAGAGTTGAGGCCACATTACATGAGAATCTCAGCCCTGAGCTAACATTCACAGCCGTTGGATACAGCCTCTTATACCAGCCCTGAAATAAACCACCACTGTTTGCCAGCTGTGGTGGCCCTGGGCGTATGTGAGCTACTGGGTCAGATGCAGAGCACAACTTCTAATTCTGAATGATTTATAGCAGCCCGAGTAGATATCTGCATATCGTGGGAAAGATACAATGGTAACAGCAAAGGATTTTAACTCAAAAGTACAGAAGATCAGGAAAAGGTGAGGGATCATATTTGTTCTTCTGTTTACTAAGCTAATGTTCTGCAGGTTGGAGATGCAGAAGTGGGTAGAGAGGAAAACAAAACAAAAAAACCTAACCAACAGATATCTTGGAGGAAATCTTGGAAAATGGTAATGCAACAGACCTTACACCAGCACTGTAAAGTTAGCATCCACATCAATTAGAAACACCCTCCCTTACCTCAACGACTCCTTGGTCAATTATTCTACTTTATGGTCTATCAGACAAGTAGGAAGGTAAAGCAAAGAGATGGATACAGCAGGATCTAATCAATTAATGACAGCAAGTCACGTCTATGAAGCCTGGCATCAAGATCTCATTCTCAAATTAAAAGCTGTGGAATAAAACAGCAAATGTAAAATTCTATTAAGAAAAACGGTGTGTTGTATTTTTTTTCCTCTTTATGAGCTTCAGTGTTGTACAAAATGAAAAGGAATGTGAATAAGGGGAGGGCCATCTCTTGGTCTTAAAGGAGGGCTTCAGCATTTTGACATTTTGACATGGAAGGTTCAACATTCACTGACTCCACCTTTGCCACCACCACCATCGCTGCTGCCATCATCACAGCCACCAACACCATCACCACAATGACAGACTAGCCTCTTTCTACTATAAACAGCTTTAAAGCAACAAAATAAATAAATACTTCACTCTATTTGAATGTCAGCTTGACGATTTATAAAGTACCTGTGCAGTATTAGAAGAATAAACAATTCAATTAAAATATAAAAGACTGGCAATGCTTTGATTTCTGTTGTCTTTTTGTCTATAGACACACTGTCTCTCTGGAGAACACAATATGGGTTCTGTTTGAACATGACAGTCCTCACAAGATATCTCAGAACTCAAGACATGTTGATTTTTAGGTGAGGTATGTAAACATAGCATCAAAATGAGGGTGGCTGATTAGATAAGAGTTGAAAGAACAAAAGCCTTCTTCTGCTACCATTGAACCACAGTAGGTTAGCCCTCACTTTATGGCCCGATGACCCTGTTTGACTAGCCCTTGCCCTTCCTCTGGCACAAGCTCAGATTTCATGAGACTCACAAATGTGGCCAGAAGCATTCTGAGAATGCTCAGCAAAGCTCAGAGTGAAGTATTTATGCTGGCTATACAATCTCTAGTGATATTTATATCCAGCTTTTAAAAAGTCCCAGTCAAGTCATTTTTATTAGGTCAAGCGATTCTCTTACAGGCAGTGTTCAAACATACAAAATTTATATTGAAAATTGCATGCATATTTGAAGGTACCTTTTCTCAGAAGGGAGTGTGTCAGCTTGTGGGGATTCAGGAGCGGCACAGACACCCGAGCTACTTGGCAGCTGACACCCATAGATGCTAGTCAGATAAGAGGCAATGCAGAACCATCCTTAATTTATTAGATATTCTTAAATTTTAGTGGCAGACAACAAGATACACCATTAGTGACGAGGGAGTGGGGGACTTGGAAAAGATTAAAAGGAAAACTTAAAACCTTTGAGAACAAAGTCACGTCCAGGGATGGAATTGACAGAGGACCTCTTCAACTGCAGGCTGGAAAAAAGCTTCCAAAGGAGAAAAGCAACATTCTTAAGAAATCCTACTGTGACTAGTCCTAAACTTACCTGTGGATGAAATGATTCCTTGGTTAATAACTACTAACTACCCCCTACTTCAGGGAGCAGTGGTGCATTGCAAACAGCTCTTTCTCTAAGCAATAAAAGACAATAGACTGTGAACCATTAGGGACCCATGAAGTTGTGCTTTGCTTACCTACTCACTTCTGCATTGCCAGGAACTTAAGATTTTTAAAATTCTATTATAACAAGCAATTTTAAGCAAACTTTAATATCTTCTACAGAATGTACCTATTATAGTCAAACTCTAGAGAGATCTATTAAACTGTATAATCTTTTAGAATAAAGATATTAGCACACAGAAAAGAAAAATAGATTATTAATGTTTCCTCATCACTGAATTTTCAAAACCATCTGTGTGACCAAAAGAGAATTAGAGTCCACACACCATTTAAAAATAGTTATCTCTTAGAATTATACTTAGACATTTCTATTGAGAACATTAATGTCATTGAAATTATATGATAAGAAGAGAAGAGAGACCACAAGAATAAGGAATTCCAGGGAGAACATTTATAGTCAACAGCAACTGCTGTGTTAAGCATCCGAAAACCACGATTCTCCTTTTTAGTCTCAACCAGGGCTTCAGAAGTCAACAACAGCAGTCCACCAGTCAGTCCATGGCCAGGATATTAAGACTAAAGAATGCCTTGGGCTGGGGTTGTAGCTCAGCTCTTGAGAGCTTGCCTAGCATGAGTGAGGCCCTGGGTTCAATCCTCAGCACCATATAAAGATAAATAAAATAAAGATATTGTGTCTATCTACAACTAATATATTTTAAAAAAGAAAAAAGAAAAAGAATGCCTTGTTCCTTCTTACCAGGCGTAGGAGCAAAACTGAAGCACTGGGGCAAAGTTAGTTTATTAATTTATGAGAGTATTCAGATGTAAGTTTTTTAGGGTTTTATTCTGGAACAATGTACCCATGCCAGATGACATGGGGTTATTTGGTTTGTTAAGAAATAAAATTATTTACATCCCATAGTTTCCTTTGACATAGATGTAAGGAATGCTCTGATCATGAGCTCCAAGAAGAAATGTGAAATGCCAATTAAACAAAGTAGAACTGCTCTGTCTTTGGTATTTTAATTCCTTGAAAGTGTATTTATGATTCTGCCTGAGTCTCACTTCTGAGTCATTTTTCTCTTTCTCCCCTTTTTCATTTCTCCTATTTAGCATCACTACATAAAAATAAAGATAGGCTCTGAAGGATGCACACCAACCTGCCTTGGGGAGTCTCAGATCCATCCTGGGAGAGGTTATGGTAAGGTAGTTGAGATGCTCTAGGTTTAATTCCCAAAACCAAACAATTGCTTATGAGTAGGGGACAAAAGAGAAACCTTGGTTTAATCCCCTTAAGATGCTGGAGTAATGTGGAAGAAACCAATAATCTCTAACAAGCAGGCAGAGTAAAAGATCTAATTCAAAATTCAAAAGATGAAGCGGGGAAAAAGCCCTATCCCTTTTAATCTTAGAAATAAAGGCTGGGTGCTCATTCTTCACTACACATCTTAGTTGTCCCAAGAAGAGAAGCTGCAGAGCTGTGGTAATTTTCCCCATCCAGATCAGGATGAACCTCCACACACACGTATGACTTGTGACCAGAAGGTCCCGAACTTACAATAAAAAGAAAATTGAAACACAGCATCAGGGAGAAAGATACTCCAAGTGGATGAGCCAACTGCAGGCAGGGAAACAAACATCAGTGGCATGCCCATTTCTCTTTCAACTCTTCCCAGGAGTGCTGATGGCAGGAACAGCTTTCCAAACCTGACCCCGGCCACCAACATGATGCAGGTGGCCGCTTGGAATGCTCAGGTGTCCTAAAAACACCCCATGGATGGCCAAAGGCATAATGACAAGACACTAAGGGAGGCTCCACTTAATCAAATGCTTTCTGTGCACAAGTGCAAGCTTAGGACCGCAGATAAAGTGGCATCCACAGCACACACATGAGAAGTTAAAGCAGGTTTTCAAAGCTGCCCTCTAGTGTTACGTTCACTTAACCTCATATTTACTGGACACCTGCCATGGGCAGGGCATTATGTTATACTTGTTGAGACACAACATGGACATTTTATCATTTTCTGAAGCAAACTTCTTGGATCTCCCATATAACCTGATGCTATTTCCAAGGATGAAGAAGAAAGCCTGGCCATGAGGGTGCAGCCATTCTTATTTTGGAATTGCTACGGCAGACTCTTGCTTTCTGTTTGCCTTCCTGACCCACTTAGCCTAGGCAGTCATTCCCAGTGACACCGCCCCCTTCCACAGAACCTCAGCGGAGAGGGTGCCAATCCAGGCCTGTCATACTGCACGCCTCCTGAGCTCACAGGATTCCTAAAATCCATTTGACATTAACAAAGGATAAAAAATGAAACATGTGCAAACCTCCAGACAAACACCCCCAAGAAGCTTTCTTGGGAAAAGGCAGTCATGTGGCAAATGAGCACACCCTGCCCCACTGAGCATCCCCACCTCCTCACTGGTTATGAATGTGCCATTACACAGGGACTGCAAACCCCCATCTGATTCTAAATAAGACAAGGAATTAAAGGACAAACCAAGAACAAGACTAGGAGAGAGACTTACATATTTAGAGCAAATGACAGAGATTGACACAGAGGCAGAAAGACTGAGAGAAAGAGGAGAGAGAGAGAGAAGGCGGTGAGGACACAGGAGATGGCAAACTTAAAGGCTTGAGGAGGAATGCAAGAGGGAAAAAAGAAACAAAATAAGAAAGGAAACCAAGAGGCAGGAGAAGAGCAGAGAGGGGGACGAAGGAGGAGGGTTTAGGTGAGTTGGGGCAGTGGAAAGGTGTAGGGAGGAGTAAGAAGGGGGAGAGAGGCCAACAGAGAATGGACAACACAAAAAAGACACTAGCAAAAGCCTTGTGACATTATCTGCCATTCCTTTTGCTTCCCAGTGTGCTCCCAGTCCCCAGGAGACATCATCCCAAGCAGCCTTTTCTCCCCATACTTGTGTGTGCTGGCAGGCCTTTCCAAACAGCTGCTTGGGGGTCCAGAGACATCACTACCTCACTCCCCATCTACTCCCCTCTCCTGGAATCACCACA